CTCTGAACAATGACAACCACCGAGCCACCAGGGGGAAGCAGGCGGAGGGACAACACCCTTTCCCCACTGGGGTGGCCCGTCAACAGTAACTTATTGGGGGTTTGATGCATTTCTGCCAAAAGCCGCTGGGTTTCGACTTGGGGTCTTGTTGAGGTGGGGAGGATAGGACCGGCTCCACCCCCATCCCATGAGGCCCTGCGTGTCTCCTCACTGCAGTCCCAAATCTGACTGTCCAATGGCCTCTGAAGGATGACAGCCACCGAGCCGCCAGGGGGAAGCAGGCAAAGGGACAACACCCTTTCCCTCCTGGGGTGGCCTGGCGACAGTAACCTACTGCGGGGTCTGGACACATTTCTGCCAAAAGCCACTGGGTTTTGAGATTTGTTTCAGAGTCTCTGGGATCATGGCCATTAAGCAGTTCAATGAGGAACCAGAGAGGCCATGCCTTCAATTATATAGCTGAGCTGGAGGTGGTTTGTGGGTGTGTTTCCCACATACCCAACTTTTGACCGTTTACTTTCTTAGTAAACTTTGCCCCAAGTTTTTGGGGTTCAGCAAAAGGCATAGCAGCAATTTTGGGGTATCTAGAAGTCTAAAGGCACCATCAGGCTGCTGATGCACTCACCTCACAGGAACATATTGACCTGCTGATGGCACCATACCCCCTTAAATAAATATTTTAAGTCACAATTTCAGGCATTGACATGATTTCCATTCTTTGTAGAATCCATATTCACTACTGAAAATAGAATTTAGGTTACATTCAGATTTGGATAAAAGAAAATCTCTGAATCATCAAATACTTAGGAAGTCTCAAATACTCTACTTGCTTACACAGTTTTCATCTTTTGGAAATCTCTTGATGTTCCTATTTCTTCCTTTATATCAGGGCCACAGTAGTAGTACAGTGGGTAGAGCATTTGCCTTGCACATAACCGACCCTGGTTTGATCCCCAGCATCCCATATGTTCCCCCAAGCACTACCAGGAGTAATTCCTGAGAGCAGAGCCAGGAGTAACCCCTGAGAATTGTCAGGTATAACCCAAAAAGTAAAAAAAAAAAATACCCACGGAAATATATATCAATAAAATAACATAATAAAATAAGAAATTAAACATATATAAAGTAGAACTCAAGTTATCAGAACAATTTTAAATAAGAATTGTGTGAATAAATTTAATGACACAACAAAACTCTTGTGTCATGAACTATAACTTCACTAGTGGAATCTCTCTAAATATGGGCAGGAAATAAAGCAAAGAAACTATTCTGATTAAATTCCTTTCTAAATGTTTCTAAAAGAAAAAATGGGTCTGACCAAAATTTTTCGGATGTTCATAAAACAGGAATAACATTGGAAACATACTATAAAGCGAAAATGTGAGTAGCATTCCACCAAACTGAAATTTGAGTAACAAAACAACAAATAAGAAGAACAAAATAATGGTAAAGATGACAATGTTTTGGAGCACTCGGGTTGTTTCCAGACTCTGGTTACTGTGAACAGTGCTGCAATGAACTTAAAAAGAAAGGAGTTAGGAAAAGAAGATTAAAAAAAGATGAAAGTTTATTGGAGGAAATATGATGTATTGAAAAATGTTTACAGAGACTAGTTAAAAAGCAAGAGGGATTTTCTTTTTTATTGAATCACCATGAGATACAGTTACAAAACTTTCATGTTTGATTCTGTCATACAATGATCAAACAACATCCCTCTACCTGCGCACATTTTCCACCACCAATGTCCCCAGTATATTCTCCCACTTTCCAGTCCTCCCCCTGCCTCTATGACAGACAATTTCCCCCATACTCTCTCTCTCTGCTTTGGGGATTTATGGTTTGCAATATAGATACTGAGAGGCTATCACTTTTGGTCCTTTATCTACTTTCAGCACACATATCCCATTCCGAACAATTCCTCCAACCAACATTGACTTAGTGATCTCATCTCTATTCCAGTTGCCTTCTCCCCCAGCTCATGAGGTAGGCGTCCAACAATGGAGCAACATTCCTTGCCTTCTGTCTACAGTACTTGGGTGTCAGTCTCATATTATGTTATTTTATATTTCACAAATGAGTGCAGTCTTTTCCTCTCTTTCTGACCCATTTCACTTAGTATGATACTCTTCATGACCATCCACTTATAAGCAAATTTCATGACTTCATCTCTCCTAACAGCTGCATAGTATTCCATTGTGTAGATGTACCAAGGTTTCTTTAAGCAGTCATCTGTTCTCGGGCACTCAGGTTGTTTCCAGATTCTGGCTAGTGTGAACAGTGCTGCAATGAACATACAGTTGCAGATGTCATTTCTACTGTGCTTTTTAGCACCCCAAAGAGGAATTTTTAAATAGTAAGTTAGATACACTTTTTTAAATAAAAAAGAAAATAGACAATAAAGAATTATTGAATGCATCAAGAGATTAAGATGAACAATTTGATAGGGTTGCCTATATTTTCAAAATGTATTCTATATATTCAGGCCTATATTCTTGATATATTTTATTACTTTTTTTATTCTGCACTTTTGATAGGTCTATTCAAGCTATTTATGATATTTGGTTCTACAAGACTATGTTTCTTCTAGGTTATCCCTTTTTTGTCATATGACTGTTCATACAGGTCTTAAAAGTCTCCTATATTTCTTGTATCTCTTGTAGTGAGTTGCAATTGGGCTTCTTTTATCTTTTATTTTTTAAATTAGTGTTTTCTCTGTTCTTATCTTTATGATCCATGACAATGATTTACAGATTTTCTTTATTCTTGCAAAATAGTTGACAGTTTTCTTGATCTTTTAATTGTTTGTGGTTTTATTTCATTTATTGATTTCAGACACAGTAACAACAAGTCTTATAGTGGAGACGTTACTGGGCCCACTTGAGCAAATCGATGAACAATGGGAGGATAGTGCTACAGTTAATTGATTTCATAATTCATCATTTTCCTTCTTCAATTTTTGGTTAAATTTATTTTAGTTTCTTTCCTATTTCCTTTAGGTGTGATATTAGAATAATGATTTCAGACTTTTTCTTTGTTGATGTGATCCTCTAATGCAAAACATAGAATCAATAGAGGTAAATAATCCTCATTTAACTCTCAATAGCATATTTGCTATGTCTTATAGGATCTGACAGCTATGTTTGCCTTGCATTAGTCTCCAGGTAGTTTTTATATCTCTTTAAATTTTTCATTTAATCCGAGAATGTTTTTACAAGTAAACCAGTTAGTCTCCACATTGGGGTTTTGTTATTCTAATTCTATGTTTTGGTTGATTTCTAGTTTCATATCATTATGTTCAGAAAAGAATACTGACTGTGTTTTTCTATATTATTAAGACTCATTTTATGTCCAATCCCAAGAGTATTCTGTGTGCACTTGAGAGGAATGCATATTCTTTTATTTGGGTATGAAATTTTTCTGTAAGTGTCTATTAAGTCCAATTAACCAATATTTTTTTATTTTAGAGTATTATTTTCTTGTTAACTATATTCCAAGATAATCTATCCATTGATAGAAGAAGTTTGTTGAGATTTATAATATTACTGTTACTGCTTTATTTTACTTCATGTATTGTTACTGCTAAATCTTACTTTGGTAAAGGTAAAGGCCCTCCCGTTGATCGTCGATTTGCTCGAGCGGGCCCAGTAACGTCTCCATTGGAGACTTTGTTGTTACTGTGTCTGGCATATCGAATACTCTCGGTAGCTTGCCGGGCTCTCCGAGAGGGGCAGAGGAATCGAACTCGGGTCGGCCACATTGGCCGCTTGTAAGGTGAACGCCCTACCCGCTGTGCTGTCGCTCCAGCCTTTATGTTTATTAATTATAATGCTATATATATACATGTTTTTATATATATTAGTTTTGGGGTCACACTCAGTGGTGCTCAGTGGTGACTCCTGGCTCTGCACTCAGGAATCACTCCTGTCAGGCTCAGGAGATCACACGGGATGCTGGGGATCAAACCTGCGATCAACTGCATGGAAGGCAAATGCCCTAGCCCAGCATGCTAAGTGTACCTATGTAAATTTTAATTACATGAATATTAATTAAAACTAATTAGAAACTAGTTGTGTACAAATGAGGCCCTTCTTTAGTTTTATTTTTTTTCACTGGCATTGTTCTCTCTTTGGCTAGCTAATTGCCGTATATTTACCTATTCCCTACTTTAAGTAATAGAAAAGGTGAAAGAACAAAGATATACTTTTGCCATCCTGGTGACAAGATTCTAAAATGTGATTCAAAATACTAATGACTGTGCACCTGAGAGAGTACAGAAGGGAAGGTGCTTGCCTTGCACAAAGTCAACCCTGGCTGGATCCCTGGCACCACATACTGTCTCCCAAGCAGTAGTAGGTGTGATCCCTGAACACAGAGCCAGGAGTAAGCCCCAAACACAGTCAAATAAAAACCACCCTAGAACAAGTTTTCTAGGTTTGTTTGTAAAAAGTGGTGACAAGAATCAATCACTCTCTTTACATAAGAATACTTTTCAACTTAGTGATAAGGGACAGTGATCAGCATGTATCAGTTGCTCTGTGAACATGGCACTGCTACTTGAAACTAATAAACTTTCAAAATTCTACTGAGTCATCAAAAGGATAGCCAAACAGAATGTATTTTATGTATTGAAAACAATTTTTTAAATATATAAAACAACTTTACACAAAAGTGTATAATTCCTTTATTGTCATTTATGTAGAATAAACTGTCCACAATGTTTTAGGCTACTGAATTAAAAATAAGCTGGGCCAGAAAGATAGTACAGTTGGCAAGTGCCAATTGAACCTGCTAACCTGGCATCCCATATGCTCCCAAGCGCCCGACCATGAGTGATCCCTGAGCACAGAGCCAGGAGGAAGCCCTGAGCACTGCCAGATGTGGCCCAGACAAAAACAAACAAAACCCAACAAGCAAAAAGAATAAGTTTTCTCAGAGAGATGTTAACATGTTTGCGAACATTAAGTTCAACAAAAAGTACCACTTGTGCTTTTTTCTGGTATTTAAGGAGTCATTTTTGAGTTCAGGATTTGACTACTCAGTCTCCTCATTGCCATTTTCATATCTTTATTCCTCAAAGTGTAAATGGCTGGATTCAGAATGGGCGTAATAAGAAAGTCCAAAATGGCAAGAAATTTATCCACAGGGACTGTGGGAAATGGCCACATGTAAATAAAAATACATGGCCCAAAGAATAAAAGCACCACGGTGATATGAGCTGAAAGAGTAGAAAAGGCCTTAGACAAATCACCTGAAGAGCGTTTCCTTACTGTGACCAAGATGTATATATAGGAGGCAATCAACAAAATGAAGGTCCCCATAGTAATGAACCCACTGTTGGCAGTAACCATCAATTCTAATCCATAGGTGTCTGCACAGGCAAGTTTGATAAACCAAGGAAGATCACAGTAAAAGCTATCTATTTTATTGGGACCACAAAAAGGCAAATGAACAACAAATGCTAACTGGGCCACAGAGTGAATGAGACCTATCATCCAAGCACCAGCGGCAAGCAAAGCACACATTCGTGGGTTCATGATTGTCAAGTAATGGAGGGGCTTACAAATGGCTACATATCTGTCTAAGGCCATGGAGATGAGCAACACCATCTCAACTCCACCAAAACTGTGAAGAAAAAATATCTGGATAACACACCCATTGAAGGAAATAGTTTTATGCCCAGAGGACATGTTAGAAATCATCTTAGGAACTGCTACAGTAGAAAGAGACATATCAATGAAAGAGAGATTGGCTAGAAGGAAATACATGGGAGAATGTAAATGAGAATCAAAAATCACTGTAAGCACAACAAAAAGGTTTCCCAAAACTATTGTTACATAAAACACTGTAGCAAAGGCAAGAAGAAAATGCTGCATTGGTCTAGAGTTAGAAAGTCCCACGAATATAAATTCAGACACTTCAGAGTCATTTGTTTCATACATTAGATTTTGTCTGGTGATAACCTAAAAGACCAAAAACAAAATAATAACTAATAAATTTCAAATTTTAATTAATATTTAAAAAATAGAAACTCTTATTAACTTTTGTATTTACATATACCACACCATCACTTAGAGCCATAGCTGTTTCAAACAAACATTTATCCTCTTAACTAATATCACTAACAAGCATAATTAATATTCTCTTGAGCACCTACCATATGCCAAGTTCTGTATCAATTTCTGAATTAAAGTATTAATTTCAGTCTTGAAATTGACAACATATTGATGGATTTAGACAGTAAATGACTTTAAATACTAACACAACTCCCATAGTAGATTTAAGGAAAAATAAATATTATTACAAGAAATTCGTAATCTAACAGTGGTGATTATCTGGAGTATGCCAATAAGTTTCTATTGAAGAGTAAATAGAGTAGTCCAGACTTTATTAAGGCCATTTACAAATATCTTGAGATATCAAGAAGAAAAAAGGTCAAGATGAGTGATTCTAATCATGTTTGAATTTCAGATCAGACAGCATCTAATCTTGCATCCAGAATAAAAAGTTTGTCTTTGTCCTATAAGCAATGGATAGTTGTTGGAAACTTAAGCAGTAGTTTGGGTCATATTTCTGCTTTCAGTCAAGATATCATCCAAGTGAAGAACGGAATGAAAATAACCAGGCAAATTTAGTATGACTTCCGAGGAAACTACTATAGAACTATGAACACCAGTGTTGACTGGTGAATTATTCAATGAATGATGCTTGACAACAGAAAAAACTTGGAATGATGCAGATCTCTGCCTTTCAACATAAACTCAGCGAAGCCAACTGAATATTTAAACATGAAAAGGAAACAAATGCAAAAATAGTGCAAGAATATTTTTAAATTAGGTGAAAGCTTAATAACCAAGCCCTTTAATAACAAGGAAGAAAATAATTGATAATATCCAAACTATTGAAGAAAAAAGCATACGTTGTTATACATACAAGTATATCAAGTTACTTACATATAGATTTCAAAAGTTCTACATATCAATTCACAGATATATACCCTTGCTTGGAGATAAATTCAGTATAAAATAAAAGTAAATACAATACAGTGGAAATGGTTTTAAAATAGCAAATAATAGCAGATAAGTGATTAACATTTTTAAAATAAAGTTAGTTGTAAATAGACAAAGAAAGTATGTTCTATATATCCATTTTAAAATGATAGAACTTAAAACAAATAACTGATGAGTCATGGATGTGGCTCAATGGAAGAACATATGCCTTGTGTGAGACCCTGTTCAATGCCCAGTACTGCTACCAAGTGTGATCACTGACACCTTTGGATGCAACAGCAGAGAACAGCAACAGCCAACCTATTAACAAAAAAGAAATCCCAATAATCAATAATCACAGGAAAAGCAAAGTACTCATTAAAATTAAATGCACAAATGGAAAGAAAATTGCAATGCATATAAGATTATATATGAATCTCTTCTAATATATTCAGGATTTTTTAAAATCATAATTTACTATTAATGAAACTGAGAATTCACTCTCATACACTAATGATGATAATATACAAATATCTACAAATCACATTCATAATACCAAGTTAATTTTTTTGTAAGTTACAACCAAAAACTCACTTGAAGAAAAATTGCTTACTGTAGTTGCAACAAAGGAACTAAAAATTAAGCTATACTGCTAGTACAGGGGGCAATGACTGTGGTGGAGGGAAGTGTTCAGCCAGGAGGAGGAGGTGGCAAAAGTTTGAAAGATTGTAAATTCATACACAAAATTCTATCAGTAACAATACTGTAAACCACGGCCCAGAAAGTTATATAAAATCTCTTGTATAGTCAGACTTGTAGGTGGAAGCCAAATGGCGGGTTGGGGGATGGGAGAGGGGGAATATTGGTGTGAAGGGATTGGCCTTGAAACATTGTATGCCAGAAATCAAATATTAATATCTTTGTAATTCTACAGCGACCAAATTAAAACTGCACAGCGGGTAGGGCATTTGCCTTGCATGCAATCGACCCGGGTTCAATTCCTCCGCCCCTCTCAGAGAGCCCGGCAAGCTACCAAGAGTATCCCACCCACACGGCAGAGCCTGGCAAGTTCCTGTGGCATATTCAATATGCCAAAAACAGTAACAACAAGTCTGACAATGGAGATGTTACTGGTGCCCACTTGAGCAAATCGATGAACAATGGGAGAACAGTGCTACAGTGCTACTGCTATTACAACATTTTCAAAACTGTTGTGGGAAATAACCTAATGTTCATAACTACAAAACTGAAACATTCATGAGAAAACTGCAACTGAGAAAATCGTTCAGGTTCATAAATAAAAATTATAATTATACAATGGAAAGCACACGGCAGAGCCTGGTAAGTTCCCCATGGCGAATTCAATATGCCAAAAACAGTAACAACAAGTCTCACAATGGAGACATTACTGGTGCCCACTTGAGCAAATCAATGAACAACGGGAGGACAGTACTACTATGGAAAGATATAAGTAGTTACAGTTTAGTAAAAAGGGGTGGTTATGAGGCTGGAGAGAGAAGAGGAGATAAAGTACTTGCCTTATATTTTGCTGACCCTAATTCAATCCTTGGTACCAATGATGGTCCCCTGAGCACAGAGTCAGACACAGAGACAGGAATAGCCCCTAACAACACCTATGTGACAATCCAACCTCCAAAACTCTGGACAGATGTTTCTGAGATAAAACTTATAGGATGCCCATTTATTAAAATTAATGTTCAAGAAAAGTAGGAGTACAATTATATTTAACATATAAGTAATCTCTTAGTATCTGTATATATGAAATTGTTCTTTATCTTAAATGCAGACAACTATTTAAATATTACACATTTCAACCTTTTTTGATCACTTTTAGTGAATTTTAACAAGCAATATAAAATAAATTATTCAGGGACTCCTATAAAGGCAGGCTTGAGGGGTGGTTGGGACAATTGGAAATAACTGGGGTGGGAAGGTGCACTGGTGGTGGGATTGGCCTTGAAACAGTGTATGCCAGAAACCAAACATGAATAACTTTGTAATTTTACAGCGATCAAATTATCTCTGCATTTATAATTATCATGGTCACGGTCCTCCCATTATTCATCGATTTGCTCGAGCGGGTCCAGTAACATCTCCATCGTGAGACTTGTTACTGTGTTTGGCATATGGAATACATCACGGGGAGCTTGCCAGGCTTTGCCATGCAGGCAAGATACTCTCGGTAGCTTGCCCTCCGAGAGGGGCAGAGGAATCGAACTCGGATCGGCCATATTGGCCGCTTGCAAGGCAAACACCTTACCCACTGTGCTAGCGCTCCAGCCCATTTATAATTATAATTGTCTAAAATATACTGAAACAAACCATATTTTAATTCTGGTTTCATACCTGAATAATATTGTGGCTTCTTTAGTTTATATTTTTTATTTTTCACTGATAATACCAAGACTTCCTCCAGGCTTGCTTTTTTTTTAAGTGATTACTTTCCCTACATCATTCCACAGCATTTCTAGCCAATTGTATGAAGACAACCCAACACTGAATCAGCAGGAAAAGAAATACTGAAGTTCCATTCAACATAAGTTATAGGAACTTCATGAGCCTTGTAACTTAGACTGAAACATCCCAGTCAGTCAGGAAAGAGTATCATGAAGACAGAGATGAAATAGCACCACACCCTTCTGGTTTTTGTTGTTGTTGTTGTTGTTGTTGTTGTTGTTGTTTTTGCTTTTTGGGTCACACCCGGTGATGCTCAGGGGTTACTCCTGGCTCATGCACTCAGAAATCACTGCTGGCGGTGCTCAGGGGACCATATGGGATGCTGGGAATTGAACCTGTATTGGCCATCTTGGCTACATGCAAGGCAAACGCCCTACCCGCTGTGCTATTGCTCCAGCCCCTTTTATTTATTTATTTATTTATTTGCTTTTTGGGACACCCTTCTGTTTTATGGCTGAACCACTGCCTAGTAGGCCAAAATCACCTGAGGGAGCTCCGAGCCACATCAACACTGCTGAGCGCACACACACACACACACACACACACACACACACACACACACAATAAATAAATAATGGTGATGCATGCGTGAGGAGTTAAAAAAAAAAAAAAGAAAAGAAAAAGAAATAACAGTGGCATGTAAAAATGTCCCAAAAAACCATATTTATTGATGTTCACTTAAGCATATTTGTTTTGTTGTTCAATAGAGAATATAAAAACATCACCAGGAGTGATTCCTGAGTGCAGAACACCATCAGGTGTGGCCCCAAAATGAAAGTATTTCAAAGTTTCAATATCAATGACTTTCATTTTACATATTTTCCAATTGAAAGTCCAAAATTACAAGATATTTATTCACTGGCATTGTGATAAATGGCCACATGTATGTAAATATACATGATCCAAAGAATAAAATCACTAGTGATTGAGGTAAAAGAATAGAAAAACCTTAGATGAATCACCTGAAGAGCATTTCATATTGTGACCATGATTCATACATAGGAAGTAATCAGTAAAATGAACATACAGTGATGGACCCACTGTTGGCAGTATCCATGAATACTAACTTATAAGTGTCTGCACAGGGCAAGGTTGATAAACCAAGAATTGTCACAGTAAAAGCTATCTATTTCATTCAGACCACAAAACAGCAAATGGGCAGCAAATGTTAAGCCACAGTGTGAGTGAGACCTATAATTCAAGCAACCAGAGAAAAGCAAAGCACACATCCATGCGTTCATGACTGTCAAGTAATGGAGAGGCTTACAAATGTCTATATAGTTGTCTAGGCCATGGAGATGACCAACACCATCCCAAGTCCACCTGGCCTATGAAGAGAAACTTACTGAATCACACATCCATGGAAAGAAATGGTTTTATGCCCAGAAAACAAGTTAGAAATCATCTTAGGAACTGTTAGACTAGAAAGAGACAAAACAATGAAAGAGAGATTGTCTAGAAGGAAGTATATGGGT